TGTCAGAAAGGACGAGAAAAGGAGGGGAAAAGCGATCGGCCGCCGCTGAGCCCACCATCGGCAGCATGATGCCCTCGGCCCCCATGTCCATGGCACGCGCCGCGTGGTGATACTCGCGCGACGGCACGCGGACGATCGCCGGCATGTCGCCCGCCTGCATGTAGCGCAGCATCTGCTTCACCGTGTCGAAGCCGAAGCCGGAATGCTCCATGTCGAGCAGCACGAATTCGCAGCCGGCGGCCTTCAGAAGCTGGCCGATCCCCGGCGTGCTGAACTCGACCACGAAGGTGCCGACCTTGAGCCGGCCGTGGCGGGACATCTCCTTGAGGGCGTGTTCTGTCATGTCCGCTAATCCTTTTCGATCCGTTGGAATGCTGTATTGGCTAGGCGGCGATTTCGATACGCGCGACCGCGAACGGCGCGAGCTCAAGGCGGCCGGGGTCGCCCGGCTGGCCTGGGGCTGCGGCGAAGCCGGCCGGGTCCGTCACTGCCTCCACGAAATTGCCCGAGTCCAGCCGGCCGATGGTCGCCGTTCCCCCGTCGATGCCCGAGACCGTCACGGCCTGCGTCTCCGGCGAGAGGTTGGCGAGCCACAGCAGCGTCCCGCTGTCGCTCTCGTAGGCGAGTCCGAGGACGCGCGTGGCATCGCCGCTCGTCACGCTGCGGATTGCCGCCCCCTTCGCCGCCGCCAGCGCCGCCACGATGTGGTAGAGCGGCAGCACCGCCGGCCCGGCGAGATCGTCGAACCAGGGCTGCGGGTGCCCGGTCCTGCGGTAGACCATGCCGAGCGCACCGGAGGGCGCGCCCAGCGCCAGCGCCTCGACTCCTAGCGGCGCCACCCGCGCGGCATAGCCGAGCGTGAAGGCGGCGCCGAGAAGCGCGCGATGGCGCGGGTCCTGGCGGCTGAAGGAGTAGCGCCCGTTGTCGCTGTTGTGGTGGACATCCGGCCCGTAGGGGTTGAAGCGCATGCCGATGGCGCTCGGCGCGATCCGGTAAGGCTTCCCGCCGGCCCACGCCTTGGCCGAGGCGACGATGTCGGGCAGCGTCTGCAGCGTCTCCATCACCGAGCGGTCGTCCGGCTCGTGCACCACGGCACAGGTGGCATGCGTCAGGAAGTCGAAGAGCTCCGGCACCGCGCAATTGCGGTTGAGCTCGGTGAAGTTGGTGAAGACGCCGCCACCCAAGCGCACGCCGGGGAACGCCGCCCGCGCCGCGCCGTAGACCTCGTCGAAGTCGGGGATGCCGAGGGCTGGGATCTTCTCCAGGGTGAACTTCAGGAGCCGGGCCTGCTCGGGCACGATGGCGGCGGGCGCAAGCCCGGCCCGGCCCGCGATCTCGGCCGCCGCCGCGAGCTCGTCCGCCACCGGCCGCTCGCAGGGCACCACGATCTCCAGCACGACCTCGGCGTCGAGCGCCTGGGCAAGCTCGCGACACGCGGCCAGCGTCTCGACCGAATGGTCGTCCCGCGGGTCGCATTCGCAAACGAGGTGACCGGGACCGAGCGCCCGGAGCAGGTCGAGCCCGTGGTCGAGGTGGTCGCGTTCCGAGGCGGCGACGCCGAGCCCGATCTCCGGCATGTGCTGCCCGGTCTCGCCGCCAACGGCGATCTCGACCGCCCCGTCATCGCCGCCGGCCGCCGTTGCGACCACCGCAGAGCCCCCCTCGACGGTGAGCGTCGCGGTCTGGCGCAGCGTCTCCCCGGCCGCGAGCGTGTAGGGATAGGGCAGCGCCAGCGGGCGGTAATAGGTCTTGTACGACGCGTCGGTCCAGTTGCGCTGATCCTCGGTCTCCCAGGGGTCGGCGCCCTCGAAGCGGCAGGTGAGCCAGACGCCCGGCGAGACCTGGTGGCGCATGGCAGAGATATCGAAGAAGGGCTGCAGCGGCATGATCAGGCCGGGGAATTCGGTCTCCTCCACCGTGCCGTCGCTGTGGATGATGGCGCAGGCTTCCCCCGCCACTCCCTCGATCGCGTGCAGCGCGACGAAGCCCGTGCGGTTGGTCCTGAACTCGGTTTCGGGCCGAAACTCGACCGTGAAAACCAGCTCCGCTCGTTCTCCGCCACGATGTCGGCGCGGAAGGCGAGCACGCCGTCACCGGATTCGATGCGCGCGTCGTAGCCGACACGCGAAGCGTCCGTCTCCCTCCTCGATCTCCAGGTTGGCGATCTCGGGCGCGTAGGTCTCCCAGCCCGAGCCGCGCACGACGAAGGCGATCCCGCGCAGCGCTTCCGTACCCCCATAGCGGATCCAGCGCAGCTTGCCGGCCTCAAGCTCGGCCGAAAGCGCGCCGGCTCGGAGCGTCCGCGCCGCCGGCGCCTCTTGCTCAGTGCCGTAAAGCTTCAGCGCCTCTGTCGGTGCCGTCGTCATGTCCCTGTCCCCGCCCCGGCCTGATCCGGCCAGTTATAGCAGCGCGCGCAGCCCGTAACATCCGGTGCTCAGGCGCCGACTTCCTCCCACCGGCCGCTCTCGCCCGACCGCGCGAGCGCGTCGAGGATGCGCATCATCTTGATCGACTCCTCCAGCGGGAAGGCCGGCGGCGCCTCGCCCCGCACGGCCGCGCAGAAAACGCTTCGGCCTGCAGCACGTACTGATTGACCTTCGCCAGCGTCTCGACGTCCGCGTCGTCCGGCTCCCAAATCTCGCCCGAACCGTAGATCTGATTTGGGCCTCGCGGCTCGGCGACTGGGCGAAGGGATCGGGCAGCTCGATCCGCCCTTCGTCGCGTGGACAACCATGTGCTGGTGGCCGGCAAGCAGCGTGCTGCAGGTGAAGTTCAGGATGCCGTCGGGGAAGGCCAGCACCGCGCTGGTCAGCACGTCCACGTCCCATGTGGGGTGCCGCTCGATAGCGGCGAAGACACGCACCGGCTCGGCGCCGAAGACGTAGCGCGCGGTGAGCAGCGGATAGACACCGATGTCGAGCAGCCCGCCGCCGCCCATCTCCCGCTTGTTGCGGATGTTGTCGGGGTCCTCCAGCCGGTAGCTGAACCAGCCCTGAATCGCCCGCAGCCGGCCGATGCGGCCCTCACGCACGAGCGCCCTCACCCGCTGCCACTGCGGGTGGTGCAGCACGACGTAGGCCTCCTGAATCTGCAGGCCGGTCTCGTCGCGAACGGGGATCAGGCTGGCGGCCTCGGCGGCGTCGAGCGCGATCGGCTTCTCGCACAGCACGTGCTTGCCGGCGCGCGCCGCCTTCACCGTCCAAGGGACATGGAGATGGTTGGGCAGCGGGTTGTAGACCACGTCGATCGCGGGGTCGGCGAGCAGGGAGTCGTAGTCGCCGTAGGCCTGGGCCAAGCCGAAGCGCTGGGCCACCGCCCCCGCCTTGGCCAGCTCGCGGCTCGCGATGCCGTGGACGCGGACCCCGGCGGCCTGTTGCAGCGCCGGCATCATGTGCTCGATGGCGAAGAGCGAGGCGCCGAGCACGCCCCAGGATAGCGTCGTCATATCCCCCTCCCGCGCGCCGGCAGGCGCGGCGCCATCCTGCGGGAAGCCCGGTCCAGGCTCAAGGGAGAGAGGCGGGCCAGAGCCTCTGCTGTCGCTGCTCATGCTGCCACCCGGCACACCGCCTCGCTGCCGAAGCCGGTGATCACGCGGCGCCAGCCGGCGAGCGCATGGTCGAGCGCGGGATCGCCGGTATCGACATGAAGGATGCCGTCGCGCAAGGACGCGAGCTTCTCCGGCGTCGCGGCGACAAGGAGCCGGTCGAGGCCCACCGCCCGCACCACGCGGGCGCCGATCTGCTGGTTGCCGCGCCCAAGGAAGTGCCCCTGGCCGCCAATGGGGGTGACGACGATTGCGCCGGGTCGGCACTCCGCCAACGCACGCAGGATATCGCCCTCGCTGGCGTCGGCGACGAGCAACGCCCCGTCCTGCACAAGGTCCACGCCGAGCAGGGTCTTTGGCAGGCCGAGCGCGTCGGCGACCGCCCGCGTGGTGGTGCCCGGCCCCAGGATGTAGAGCCGCCCCGCCTCCATCCGGCCGGCGATCTCGGCGGCGATACTGCAGAGCGCTTCGCGGCGCCGCTCACCCCACCCGCCTTCATGTTCTGGGTGAGATCGGGGGCATAGGGCACTGGAAGATAGTCATAAAGCCTGGCCGAGACGGCGCCGGCACGAAAGGCCTCCTCGTCGATATCCATGACCTCCCGCGGCCGCGCCTCGATATCCTGGGTCAACGCGCGGAGCGCGAGGTCGGCGGCGGCGCGCGGGCTGGTGGCATAGACCGCCGAGTGCATCTTCACCCCGGCCGGGACGCCGATCACGGGCACCCGGTCGCGGTCATCGAGAGCGGCCGCCATGTCGCGCGCGGTGCCGTCGCCGCCGGCGAAGAGGATGAGCCGCGCACCGGCGACCGCCATGGCCTCAGCCGCGGCGCGCGTGTCCGCCGCGCCGGTCTCGCCCTGGGCCGGAGCGCCGACGACGATCGGGCAAAGGCCCGCGTCTCGGGCAATGCGCTCGCCCATCTCACCGGGGGCGCAGAGAAGCTCCAGGCCGGGCCGCGCACTGGCGAGCGCATTGAGCACCACTCTCGCTCGCCGTCCCGACTGCGGTTCCGCGCCACGGGCGCGGGCCTCGCTCAGGATCGCCGCCGTGTCGGTGCCCTTGAGTCCCGACGCTCCCGCCCATGCCGGCGATGGGGTTGACGATGAGGCCGAGCGTAGGCCGGCCCATGGTAGGCCGATCAGCCGTAACCGCCGCCCCCGTGATCGCCCAGGCCGCGCTTGACGTTGGCCCAATTCCCCCGCTTGCGCCGATAGGCACGCCCCGTGAAGGCCCAGCAGTCGGGATCTTCTGCCACGTCGCCGTCGACGGCCTGGGTAGCGGCGCAGTGGGGAGCCGCCTTCACATGCTCCGGCGCGGTGCGGGCCTCCTCGGCGATCCGGCGCAGCGCATCAATCACATGGTCCATCTCCTCGATGGTGAGGGATTCGCCCGGCTCCAGGGTGAAGGGCTGCGGCACCAGCATCGGCAAATGGCTCTCCATGTAGTGCTGCACGCCGAAATCGACCATGCGGTTCATCACATCGTGGCTGGCGACGCCTGTCTCTTCATAGAGCGGCTCCCAGCTGTAGCGGACCTGTTCCAGCTTGGGATAGGTGTTCTTGGGCCAGGGGATCGACGTGCCCTCGATCTGCCTGATGCGGTGCAGCATGTAGTTGTTGTTGAGCACCGAGGTCTCGGCGACGGCGCGCAGGCCCTCGGCGCCGAGGCTGCGCACCCAGGCATAGGCCTTCAGCACCGCGTGCACGTTGCCGATGAAGGCGCGGATCTTCTCGATCCCCTCCCCCGGATCGTGGTCGAGGCCGTAGCGCTCGCCGTCCCACGTCACGATGGGCGCGGCAGAAGCGCTCCAGATGCGCCTTGACGCCGACCGCAGCGCAGCCCAAGCCGATGGCCCCGTGGGGCGCGGAGAAGGTCTTGTGCAGGTTGAACTGGCACATGTCGAAGCCGGTATCGCCGGCGCGGACAATGCCCAGCAGCGGGTTGCCGTTGGCCTGGTCGTAGGCGCAAAGCCCGCCGGCCTCGTGCACGATGTCCACGAACTCGCGGATGTTCGGGTTGTACAGCCCGGTGTCCTCGGGGTTCGTCAGCATCAGGCCGGCGGTGCGCTCCGACACCGCGGCCTTGAGCGCGTCCACTCGGCGAAGCCCATCTCGCCTGGCATGAGGGTGATGACCTTGAATCCGGCCACCGCCGGAGTCGCCGCGTCGGCCGGGTGCGAGAAGGCGGTGCGTGATGATCTCGTCGCGCTGCCCGCCCTCGCCGCGCGAGGCGTGATAGGCGCGGATCAGGCACGCATTGGTGTAGATGCCCTGCGCCCCGCTCGCCGGCTGGAAAGTGAACGCGTCCATGCCCGCGACCTGGCACATCATGCGGTTGAAGCGGTAGAGGATCTCCAGCGTGCCCTGCAGCGTCTCCGGGTCCTGCAAGGGGTGGACATCGGCGAAGCCCGGCATGCGCGCGACGTATTCGTGCACCTTCGGGCTGTATTTCATGGTGCAGGTGCCCATCATGTCGGCGGTCACAGTCGAAGCCCATGGACATCTGCGAGAGCCTGAGGAAGTGCCGGAGCACGCGGTGCTGCGGCAGTGCGGGCAATGCCGGCGGCGCGGCCCGCCCTACCCCCTCGGGCAGCGCTGCGACGACGTCGCCAACGGCCTCGACGATCGCGTCGTCCACCGCCGGCGGCAGCAGGCCGCGCCCGCCTTCTCCGCCGATCTCGTCGATCAGGGGCTCGTCCCAGCGTGCGGCGTGGAAGCCGCTTCCCGTGCGCTCGCTCATCGGATCGCCTCCCCGAGCGCAGAGACCAGTCTCTCGATCTCGGCCGCTCCGTGCAGCTCGGTCACGCAGTAGAGGGCCGACTGTCCGAGCGCCGGGAACTCGCCGCTCAAATCCTTGCCGCCGTGAATCTCTGCGCCGCGCAGCGCCGCATTGATGGACCGCGACCGTGGTGCCGGTGCCGGAGAAATCGACGACGAACTCCTTGAAGAATGGTTGCTCCAGATGCGGCACCGAGACGCCGGGGAGCGCTGCGATCCGCTCCGCCGCGTAGCAGGCGCGCTGCATGATGCCGCGGCCGAGCTCGGCCATGCCTTCGGGCCCCATGAGCGAGAGATAGACCGCAGCCCCGATGCCCCAGATCCACTGGGTCGTGCCGGTGTAGTCGGTGGCATCGTGGCGGGTGTCGTAGGAAGTGCGCTCCATGGTGGACCAGGCGAAGCCGAAGCCCTCGCCCTCCGCCGCCGGCGCGATGCTGAAGAGGATGGAAGGATACTCCGCGACGAAGCGCGCCTCGTCCCGGCTCGCGATGAAGCCGCCGTTGCCGCCGCCGGCATACATGTGAATGCCGAGCGGCTGCAGATCGCCGACGACAAGGTCGGCGCCATAGTCGGCAGGCGTTGCCAGCACGCCGAGGGAGATCGGGTCGACGCCCGCGATCAGAATGGCGCCGGCGTCATGGGCGATGTCGGCGATGGTCGCCGCCTCGGTCTCGATGAGGCCGAGATAGCCGGGGCTCTCGATCACCACCGCGGCGGTCTCGCCCGAGACCTTGGCGCGGAGGTCGGCAAGGTCGATGCAGGCCCGTCTCGGGATCGCGGGCAACGGTCTCCACCGTCGCGAACGGCTTGGTGAAGCCCTGCAGCTGCGAGCGCCGGTCGGCGCTCATGGTCTCCGGCACGAGGACACCGCGCCGGCCGGTGATGCGGCAGGCCATCGTCGCGGCGCTGCCGGTCGCCGCACCGGCGTCGTAGGTGGGGGTCGAGACCACCTCCATCCCCACCAGCTCGCCCATCAGGCTCTGAAACTCGAAGAGCGCCTGGTTCTTGCCGTGGTCGGAATAGGTGCCGCCGCCGTAGGCGGTGAGGAGCTCGCCGCGATGGACGATCTCGTCCACGATCGCCGGCACGTAGTGCTGCGCGCAGCCGGCGCCGCAAAAGTTGAGCCAGGTCCCGGTGCAGGGCTGGTTGCGGGCGACGATCTCCTCGAGATGCCGCCGCAGGTCCTGCTCGCCGGGGAGCGCCGGCGGCAGGTCGAGCAATCCCTTGACCTTGAGCGCCGCGGGATTGCGGCATAGAGATCGGTCACGTCGCCGGCGCCGATCGCCTCCAGCAGCTTCCGTCTCGGCGCAGGTGCCGCGTTCGGCACGTAAGGATGAATGAAACCGTCGCCCATGTGTCGCCTCCCTCCCCGATCGCTGGCGGCAGTCTATCCCGCCGCTACGGGCGTACCAACGGCGCCCTTAGCCTCCTCCGAGGTTCCGGCGATGACGAGCGATGCCTACGAAGAATAATCATGCGGACTTGACTCGACTTTCCGTGTGCGGGGTAATGCCGCCTGAACGAACAAGCTGCCAGTGGGTCGGAAGGCCAATCGGCGGCGCGGGGCCGCGAGAACGAACCTCATACGGTGGGCTTTCGCGGCATCAGACTGGGATGGGAGGAGTCACATGAGCATCAAAATCAACACGCGCGGATACGGGCAGCTTCCGGGCATGAGCCGGCGGAGCTTCTTGAAAGGGACCGGGCGATGGCAGCGGCCGGGAATGGCGCGCCGGTGGATGGGGTGGCATGCCCGCGCTGGCACAGGACTTGGACCCGCTGGTCTTCTCGTTCTGGCCCTTGGGCAGCGAGATCGTGACCACGAACGCCGACCTCTTCATGGCCGAGCAGAACGAGCAAGTCGATCTCCAGCCGATCCCCGGCGACTACCCCGCGGTGCTGGAGACCAAGCTTGCCTCGGGCGCGGCCCTCGACATGTTCTACGCCCAGCGCGGCCAGGCGTCGCGCTGGCACGCGGCCGGCTGGATCAGACCGATCGACGACATGCCGGGCCTCGACCAGATCCGCAGCGAGATGATCCCCGGGCTCGATCAGGACACGGTGGCCTACAACGGCGACTATCTCGGGCTCACCTACTACAACGGCGGTCCGTTCTGCACCTTCCTCAACCTCAAGCATCTGGAGGCGTGGGGGTTCGAGGCGACCGACAATGCCAGCGACTATCCGCAGACCTGGGACGAGGTGGCGAAGATCTCCCGCGAAATGAAGGCCAAGGGGATCTGCGATGCACCGATCCTGCCGGCCTGGTACAATGCCTGGTCGGGCATGCCCTGGGCGCTGATCGCGCAATGCTTCTCGGAGGGTGAGTATTTCGTCGACGCCGACCTGACCGCCACCTACAGCAACGACACACATGAAACCGTCCTCAAGGTGTCTCACCGACTGGGACAGTGTGGACGGAGGGCCTGCCCTGTCCCAAGGGCGTGCTGACGACCCAGGAATCCACCATGATCGACCTGTGGATCACCGGGAAACACGCCTTCCACTCCTACATGGACTACTGCCACTTCATCTACGGCGACCGCGCCAACAAGCAGATCGCCGACTGGAACATGATGAACCCGGTGATGCCGGGCGCCACGCACGAGACCGTGCTCGTCGGCCATGCGCTGCTCTGCACCGGCACGCACGAGCGCAGCGAAGAGGACGTGCTGCGCGCGTGGGAGCTGATGAAATTCTATGGCTGGCAGAACGGCGCGGGCGAATACCACACCCACAAGTCGCTATGGGCGCTGTGAAGCCGACCGCAGTTCCTTACCAGGCGTCTATGAGGACTCCCCTGGACGGTGGGGAGCCAGCTGCTCGAGCTTGTGGGGATGCACGCCGATCTCGGCGAGTGACGCCAAGTCTCACATGTGCAGGTGGCAGGCCGAAGGGCGCGCGAACTCCCTTGGCCCGCACCTGCTCAAGTCGCCCTGGCACCAAGAGTGGGACACCTACACCTGGGACATGGTCGCCAACGACCTGATCTTGACCGGCGACGTGACGCCGAAGGAAGTGGTCGAGAAGACCAGCAAGCGCTGGGACAAGCTGCAAAAGAAGTACACCCAGCTTGAGCGCACGACCCACTACGTCGCCTGAGGGCGCGAAGCTGGTCTAGCGCTACTCGGCGCAGGATGGGGAGGAGCGCATGGCGACCGTTACGCTTGAGAACATCACCAAGACCTTCGGTGAGACGCTCGCGGTCGACGATGTGTCCCTCCACGTCGAGGACGGAGAGTTCGTCGTTCTTCTCGGGCCCTCGGGGTGCGGGAAGACGACGACTCTCAACATGATCGCGGGGCTGGAGAGGGCGACCGCGGGCCATATCTCCATTGGCGGCGAGCGGGTGGAACACGTACCGCCCGACAAGCGCGACATCGCGATGGTGTTCCAGAGCATCGCGCTCTATCCGCACATGTCGGTCTATCAGAACATCTCGTTCCCGCTCCGCATGGCGCGCACGCCCAAAGCGGAAATCGATCAACGGGTTCGCCGCGTCGCCGACCTGCTCAGGATCGGCGAGCTCTTGGACCGCAGGCCGCACCAGCTCTCCGGCGGTCAGCGCCAGCGGGTGGCGCTCGGCCGCTCGGTGGTGCGCGATCCGGCGGTTTTCCTTTTCGACGAGCCGCTGTCGAGCCTCGACGCCAAGCTCCGGGTCGACATGCGGGTCGAGGTCAAGAAGCTGCACGAGCGGCTCGGCGCCACCTTCGTCTACGTGACCCACGACCAGGTCGAGGCCATGACCATGGCCGACCGCGTCGCCGTGATGGATCTCGGTATCCTGCTGCAGCTCGGCTCGCCGGACGACATCTACACGCGGCCAGCCAACCTGATGGTCGCGGGCTTTCTCGGCAATCCGGGCATGAACTTCGTCACGGGCCGGCTTACGAACGGCGGCGGCGGTCTCCGCTTCGAAGGCGGCAATGTCGCCGTGGATCTGTCGGCCGCGGCATCTTCGGCCGCCGCCTCCGGCCAGGCGGTTACCCTCGGCATCCGGCCGGAGAGTGTCGAGGTCGGCGAGGGTGCGGCGGACGGTGCGACAGTGCACGGCAACATCTTCGCGACCGAGCCGGTCGGCTCAGACCTCTTTCTCGACGTCCTGTTCGAGGATGAGGCGAGCGTCGACGACGGAGCGCATCTCTTCAAGGTGCGGGCGCGTCCGGACCTTAAAGTGCGGGTCGGCGAGCGGATTCCCCTCTGCCTGCCCCACGCGAACCTCTATCTGTTCGACGATGCCGGCCACCGGATCCACCCGGAATAGCGCCGGCGGCACGCAGCCGCCGCCGACCAGCTCGAGCGGGCAGGCATGACCGCGCTCCAGCGCGTTGCGGCGTTTCGGCGTGGGCCAGGCGGCCTGACCGACGCTCAGTTCGCGCTCGCCATCGTCGTCGGCGTCCTGCTCTTCCATGTGATCATCATCATCGTGCCGCTGGCCTATTCCTTCTGGCTCAGCCTGCACGAGACCAACGTCATCCTGCGCTCGAGCGAATATGTCGGGCTCGACCTCTGGGCGGAGGTGCTGTTCGAGGAGGAGACCCAGACGGCGACGCTCAAGAGCCTCTACTTCGCCGGCGTCTCGGTGGTTCTCTCGCTCGTCCTCTCTCTCGGCATGGCGCTCGTTCTCAACCAGGAGTTTCCCGGCAGGGGCATCCTCAGGGCGCTGATCCTGCTGCCTTGGGCCGTCTCCGAGGTCGTCACCGCCACCATGTGGACCGTGATGCTGGAGCCTGCCTGGGGCTTCTTCAACGGCGCGTTGGGGCCGCTCGGGATCGTGGACCAGGGGCATGTCTGGCTCAACAAGGACTGGGCTCTGTTCTGGCTCGCGGTCGCCTTCACCTGGCATATCGCTCCGCTCGGCACGTTCTTCTTCCTCGCTGCGCTGCAGACGATCCCGCAGGACCTTTACAACGCCGCGCGGATCGACCGGCCGGAGTCATCTCGCGCTTCTATCACGTGACGCTGCCGCACATCCGCTACGCCGTGCTGATCGTGCTGGTGGTGGTGACCGTCGAAGCCTTCCGACAGTTCGATCTGGTCTTCGCCATGACCAGCGGCGGCCCCGGCACGACCACCCAGATCCTGCCGCTGCTCATCTTCCGCTACAATTTCCAGTTCTCGCAGTACGGCTTGGCGTCCGCGGCGTCATTCATCCTGATCATCATCGCGACCATCCTCGCGGTCGCCTATTTCGTGCTGATGACGCGGCGCACCAAGCAGTCGCGCGTGGCATCGTCGGCGACCCGGGCGGCGACGAAGCGGGCCGCCTGAGGGCGCAGGCACAATGAGACGCGAGGCCAACCTCAAGCTGTTCGTGGCGCTCTCAATTCTGTTCGTCCTGCTGTGGACGATGGTGCCCTTCTTCTGGATGCTCTGGGCGTCGTTCATGACCGATTCGGAGCTTTCCGAAGGCATTGTCCAGGCGATCGACGAACCCACTCTCGAGCACTACAAGCGCATCTTCGGCCATGCCGAGAAGGAGGCGATCTTCGGCGGGCAGACGAAGCTGCTCGGCCAGGGTTCCTCAATAGTCTGATCGTGGCGCTGCCGGTCGCCATTATCGGCACCACAATCGCGACACTCGCCGGCTACGCTTTCGGGCGCTTCCAGTTCCCAGCCAAGACCGGCCTCCTGTTCGGCCTGCTGCTGACCAGGGTGCTGCCGCCGGTCGCCATCCTGATCCCCTACTTCACGATGTTCAGGACCGTGGGGCTGGTCGGCGATCCGGGCGGGCTGATCCTGACCTATCTCACGGGCATCATCCCGCTGCTCTCCTGGGTGCTGATGGGCTATTTCGCGACGCTGCCGCTGGAGGTCGAGCGGGCGGCCCGCATCGACGGATGCAGCCGGCTCAAGGTGCTCTGGTACATCATCATCCCGATGGCGGCGCCGGGGATCAGCGCCGCCTTCATCATCGCTTTCCTGTTCGCCTGGAACGAGCTCCTGTTCGGGATCATCCTGGTCGGCGGCACCAAGTGGCAGACGCTTTCGCCGGCGCTGCTGGCGATTTCGCCGCTGACGGCGGTGGGCTATTCGCCGATTGCGCTGTTCTCGGCGGCGAGCACGCTCTCCATCTTGCCGCCCCTGATTCTCGCGCTGATCTTCCAGCGCTACATCACCCGCCTCAATATCGTCGATCCCGTCACCGTCCGCGAGTAGCGGCGGGGGTGGCGGCGTGAGCCTCGTGCGTCGGTTCCGCGCCCGATGGCGCGCGGCATCGGGTCACGAGCGGCTCAAGATGATGGTCATCGGCACCGCCGTCCTCGTGCTGGTGTGGTCGGTCCTGCCCTTCCTGATGATGTTCTGGGCGTCGCTCATGACCGAGTCCGAGTTGGTCGAAGGCGTCGTCCAAATCATGGATGATCCCACCGTCGAACACTACGAGCGCATCTTCGGTCTTGCCGAGACCGAGGCGGTATTCGGTGGGCAGACGAAGAGGCTCGCTCTCGGCTTTTTTAACAGCCTGATCGTCTCGTTGCCATCGGCGTTCATCGCAACGGTGATCGCGACCCTTGCGGGATACGCATTTTCGGGCGCTTCACCTTCCCCGGCCGGATGGGGCTGCTGTTCGCGCTCCTTTTCACCCGGGTGCTGCCGCCGATCGCCGTGCTCATTCCCTATTTCATGCTCTTCCAATCGGTCGGCCTGGTGAACACCCACATCGGGTTGATGCTGACCTATCTCACCGGCATCACGCCGCTGCTCGCCTGGATCCTGATGGGCTATTTCGCGACGCTCCCGATCGAGGTCGAACGCGCCGCGCGAATGGATGGCTGCAGCCGATTCCAGGTGCTCCGCCACGTGATGATCCCGATGGCGCTGCCCGGCATCAGCGCCGCCTTCATCATCGCCTTCCTGTTCTGCTGGAACGAGCTGCTGTTCGGGATCATCCTCGTCGGCGGCACCAACGCCCAGACCCTCTCGCCGGCTCTGCTCGCGATCTCGCCGCTCGGCTCCATAGGGGCCACGCCCATGGTTCTCTTTGCGGCGGCCAGCACGCTCTCGATCGTTCCGCCGCTGGTGCTGGCCCTCGTCTTCCAGCGCTTCATCACCCGCCTCAACATCGTCGACCCCATCACCACGCGGGACGTCTGAACCGCTTTGACTGGCCGGTGCCGCCCGTGCAGTGTTTCACGCCACCGGGGAGCGGGGAGCGGGCCATGGCGATCACCATCAACTGCGACATCGGCGAGGGGTACGGCCTCTACACCTTCGGCAACGATGAGCGGATCATGCCCTTCATCAGCATCGCCAATGTCGCCTGCGGCTTTCATGCGTCGGACCCGTCGGTCATGCACGCGACCGTCCGCCTCGCGCTGGCGCACGGCGTGAAGGTCGGCGCGCACCCGTCGCTCCCCGACCGCCAGGGTTTTGGGCCGCCGCGAGATGCAGATGGAGCGCGAGGAGCTGCGCGATCTCCTGATCTACCAGGTCGGCGCGCTCAAGGGCTTCCTGGAGGCGGCCGGCGCGCCCCTCAACCACATCAAGCCCCACGGCGCGCTCTTCGGCATGACCTCGAAGTACGAACACTGCGCCGAGGCTGCGGCCGATGCCGCGGAGGTCTTCGGCGTGCCGCTGATCGGACAGGCCGGCACGATGCACGACACCGTCTACTCGCGGCGCGGCCTGCCCTGGTGGCCCGAGTTCTATGCCGATCTGGAATACGACCGGGACTGCAACCTCATCATCACGCGCGAGCACGAGCCCTACGACCCGGCGGCTGCCGCCAAGCGCACGCTCCGCGCGATCGAGGAGGGCACGGTGACATCGGTGGACGGCGTCGATGTCCCGATCCGTGTCGAGACGGTGTGCATCCATTCCGACACGCCCGGGATCGATGCGGTCGCGCCGGTGCTGCGGGAGGCGCTGGCGCCCCATATGGCGTGATCGGCTGTCCACCGCCGGCGATCGCCATGAGGCGCATGGCGGCGCCGGCACGACGGAGGCAACGGCATGGCGACCTCGAACGCGACGCTCGGCGAGCGTGACGACGCCGCGATCGCTGGCATCCAGAAGCTGCGCTTCAACCCGCTCGCCGCACGCGGTGGGCGCGGATCGTACCTCACGGCCGACGACGGCCGCGCCATCCTCGACCTCTCCGCCTCGGCGACGGCGGCAAGCCTCGGCTATGGCCATCCCGCCGTGATCGAGGCTGTGACCAAGGCGATGGCCGACATGGCGGGCGCGAGCCTGCTCATGTATCCGAACGAGCCGGCGGCGGCCCTCGCCGAGGCGCTGCTGGAGACGATGCCGGGAGACGCCGAGCGACGCGTCTGGTACGGCCATTCGGGCTCCGACGCCAACGATGCCGCCGCCCGCGTGCTGGAGGCGGCGACCGGCCGCCCCCGCTTCATCTCCTTCATCGGCTCCTACCACGGCGGCGTGGCGGGCTCGATGAGCATCTCGGGCCACACGGCGATGACCCACACGTTGCCCCGGCCCGGCCTGTTGCTGCTGCCCTACCCCGACCCCTACCGGCCGCGGTTTTCGCCCGAGGCCGTGCTCGACATGCTCGACTACCAGTTCGAGACGACCTGCCCGCCGGAGCAGGTAGCGGCGGTCTTCATCGAGCCAATCATGTCGGACGGCGGCTTGATCGTGCCGCCCGCAGGCTTCCTCAAGGCGCTGGAGGAACGCTGCCGGAGGCACGGCATCCTCACCGTCCTCGACGAGGTCAAGGTGGGCCTGGGGCGCAGCGGCGCGCTCCACGCTTTCAGCCACGAAGGCATGGAGCCCGACATGGTCGTCCTCGGCAAGGGTCTCGGCGGCGGGTTGCCGCTGTCTGCGCTGATCGGGCCGGCGGCGATCATGGACCATCGCCCCGCTTTCGCGATCCAGACCACGGGCGGCAACCCGGTCTGCACCGCCGCGGGTCTCGCCGTGCTCCGCACCGTGCTCGACGAGGACCTCCCGCGCCGCGCCGCGCAGGTGGGTACGGCGCTGATGGAGGGTCTCAGGCAGCTCGCCGAGCGGCACGAGATGATCGGCGACGTGCGCGGCCGCGGCCTCGCGATCGGGGTCGATCTGGTGACGGACCGCGAGAGCCGCGCGCCGGTCCCGGCGACCACGACGGCCAAGGTGATCGTGCGCGCCTACGAGCTCGGCGCGAGCTTCATCTATGTGGGGCTCGCGGCGAATGTGCTGGAGATCACGCCGCCGCTCGTCTTGAGCGATGCGGAATGCGAGGAAGGCCTCGCAATTATCGACAAGGCCCTCGGCGACGTCGCGGCGGGCCTGGTCCCCGACGAGGCCGTGCAGGCCTACATGAACTGGTAAGGAACGACGCCGATGCCCACCGCCTCCCGCCCTGTAGGCGTCTTCATCCTCGGCGACGTGGCGCCGGGCTAATGTCGTCGGGCTGAGCCAGCAGGTCGAGCGTTGCGGCTTCTCCGACCTCTGGTTCGCCGAGGACTATTTCATGCTCTCGGGCTTTCGCGAGCGCGGGGATTGCGCTGCAGGCCACGGAGGCGATCGATGTGGGGATCGGCGCGGTCTCCAACCGGGTGCGCCATCCGGCCGTCACCGCCATGGAGGCGTCGACGCTGGCCAACGCCTATCCCGGCCGTTTCACCCTCGGCATCGGCCACGGCGTTCCCGCCTGGGTTGCGCAAATGCACCTCACCCCCCAATCGGTGCTGGGCTCCATGCGCGAAGCGATCACGGACGTGAAGCGCCTGCTCGCGGGCGAGAGCCTGACCCAGGCCGGCGCCTACTATGGCTATGATCACGTCGCACTCACGCACCCCGCGCCCGACCTCAAGGTGTTGGGTGCGGCAGTCGGGCCGAAGTCGGTCGATCTTTGCGCCGAGATTGCGGACGGCATGGTCATCTCGGTGCTCGCAGGGCCGCACTACGTTGCGACGATCAGAGAGACGGATTGCGCGGGTCCGGCGTGCGCAGGGGCTGCCCGAGGAATTCGCGATGGTGGTCTACGCGCTCGCCAGCGTGGGCGAGGACCCGGCCGCCGCCCGCGCCAAGGTTCGCCCCGTGACCGCCTTCTATCTGGAAGCCATGGGCCCGACGCTGATCACGGGCGTCTACGACGCCAACGAGGCTCTGGTCCGGATGATAGATGCGGGCGGGGCTGCGGCGGTCGAAGCCGACATGCCGGACGAATGGCTCGACTGGCTCGCGGTTGCCGGCCGCCCCGAGGACTGCCGCGCCGGCATCGAGGCACTCTTCGACGCAGGCGCGACCAAGGTCGTGCTCTGCGTCGTGCCTTCGGAGGAGCTTCCGGAGCAGCTTGAAATATTCGGGACGTGAGGTGCTTCCGGGGCTCTGACCCGGCATCGACGCCTTACTCGGCGCCGTCGATCGCCGCAAGCACCGCCTCGACACCCGCCCCCACGTCGGCCCGCCCGCCCAGCGCCGCAATGGCGCCGCCGAGCGCGGTGACCGCAACGACCGCATAAATCGGCCGCGCAACCGGCCCCATGTGGCCGATTCGCACGAGCTTGCCGAGCAGCGAGCCCCGGCCGGCGGAGAAGACCACGCCGTAGCGCCGGCGCGCCTCCTGCCGGATCGCCGCATCCTCGAGGCCCGCCGGCACCCGCACCGTGGTCGCGGTATCGGCGCAGATGGATTCGCGCACGGGCCATAGGTCGAGCCCCATGGCGCGGACTCCGGCGCGGCAGGCGCGCGCCGTCAGCGCGTGACGCGCCCACACCGCCTCCGGCCCCTCGTCGAGGTAGTTCTGCACGGCAGCGTCCAGCGCATGGATCTCGGAGACCGACGGCGTGAACGGGAACAGGACGTCCGGACGCCAGGCGTCCCGCCAGTCCTTGAGGCTGAGCACGGAGCCCGTGGGCGCGGCGGGGTTGGCGTCGATTTTCGCCCAGGCGCGCTCGCTGACGTGGACGATGCAAAGACCCGTGCTCCCGCCCAGGCACTTGCTGGGGCTGGTCACGAATATGTCAGCATTCACATCCTCCGGATGAACGTCCATGCCGCCGAAGGAGGAGACCGCGTCCACGATGGTCAGCACGTCGTGCGCGCGGCAGATCGCGCCGATCTCGCGCACCGGGTTTACCGTCCCCGACGGCGTATCGTGGTGGCAGACGGAGAGAATGCGGATGTCCGGCCGGGCCTTCAGCATGTCGCTGACGGCCTCGGGATCGATGGCGTCGTCGTAGGGCACCTCGATCTCGACCAGTTCCCGGCAATGGCGCGCCGCCCAGAAGCCGAAGCCCTTGCCGTATTCGCCGGACGCAAGGTTCAGGACCACGTCGTCGGCGCCGATCAGGGCGGCAGCCGCGGCTTCGAGGCCCAACACCGGCTCGCCCTGCAGGATCACCGGCGGCCGCGCCGTGCCCAGCGACTCGGCGGTCTTGAGGACGGTCGATTCGTAGAATTTCTGGAAGGAGGGATCGAAGTCGTAGGTGACGGGCCGCGAGAGTGCGCGCAGGACCACGGGGTACGCATCGACCGGCCCTGCGCTGAGCGTGATGATCGGGGATCGTCGTCGAGATTTCGCATTTTCTAGGGAAATGTCTGAACACCCATGTTTGCTGGTTGCGAGAGAGAGGCGGCTTGGATGTGAAGCTCGACGATATGCCGACAGGCCGGGGGCTGCTTTGGCTAACGGGATACGGAGCGAACGGGGTCGATACCGCGTCGATCCGCCGCCGCCTTCCCCGCCGTCCGCCTCCGGCGGCAGACTACGTCCCCCGTCATACCGTCGCGTAGCGGCCGGCGATCAGCAGATCGAGACAGCAGCAACGCGATGCGCTGCCTGTTCTTCGCCACGCCCCGGTAGCGCACCTTGGCGTAGCGAAGTGCCGCTCACGTACAGGAACGGATGCTCAAACCTTCGCCCGCACGACGCCTGCGCTTCTCGGCCGCCTCTTCCGCGGCGACGGCCCTCGCCAGCAGCCGGCGCCGCCCCGGCTTCATCGCCACACGCCACTCGACACCGCCGTCCCGGTGCTCGGGACGCTTCTCCACTCCCTGGTAGCCGGCGTCGCCCCACGTCCGTCGTCTCAGCGCCACTGCAGCAGCGCTCCCGCCTGCGTCACGTCGCTTGCGTTGTTTCCGCCGTCGTCGTCAAGCTGTGCGCCAGACCCGCACCCGGCGTCCACCCGATGTGCGCCTTCAGCCCGAAAATAATACCACTGGGGCTTGCCCTCTTCGGCTGATGCCGCTCAGGTCCCGTGCGCGGCGCCGGTTCTTCGTCGATGACGGCGCGTCGATGATGCTCGCGTCAATACGATCGTCCCGTGCGCAGCCGATGGCCGCGCGACGCCAGGTGCGCATTGATCTCTCGACAGGCCTCGCCCAGGCGTGCTTCTCCAACAGATGCCGTAAGTCGATGGTGGTCTCGCGGCAGCGCCCGTCAACCGCAGCCCACGAAACGCCTCACCGACTCCACCTCGTAGAGAAGGTCACGCCATCCCCGGGTCGCTCAGGTTGTAGAACACTGCATCGCAGTGAACCGCAGCATCACCGACAGCGGGTACGGGTCGCCGACCGCGCCCCGCCTTCGCATAGAACGGCTCGATCCGTCGCTCCCACAGCGCTCCCAGGAACACAGCTTGTCCATCGTCTCAAGGACAACTCAACGGCACCGTCCGTGCGCTTCTTCAAGTCGTGCTCCAGTTCCGCAAAGCTTGCCTGTGCCATGTCTCGATCATCCAATCTCCAATCCGCGACTCCTGCGCAATTATGGCACACGCAACTTGATCAGACCTTCTAGGTGCCCGCTCAGGCCTTGGACGGGGTGTCAGAATACATTGGCAAACCGACTTCCCCAAGCAGTGCATGGTGCAATTATGGCACACGAGGCTGGCTCGATTCGCGCTCACGCGCTTATGACGGCGGTGCATGACAGGTCGTTTGACAGGTTGGCCTTTGTAGTAGTTTGGTCATGCTGGTCTCGTGAGAATCAGGCCGCGCGACGGGCCGAACGGTGAGCCGCCACGGAGAGGGAGCCATGCCGGAGACGCCGCATCTGGATCGCGTGAAGAGCCCCGAAGACTTGCGCAACCTCTCGATCAAGGACCTGAAGAAGGTTGCCGAGGAGCTGCGGGCCGAGACCGTTGACGCGGTTTCGGAGACCGGCGGCCATCTGGGTGCCGGGCTTGGCGTGGTCGAGCTGACGATTGCCCTCCACCACGTGTTCGACACGCCCCGCGACCGCTTGATCTGGGACGTGGGGCATCAGTCCTACCCGCACAAGATCATTACCGGCCGGCGCGACCAGATTCGCACCATCCGCCAACCTGGCGGGCTCTACGGCTTCACCAAACGGACCGAGAGCGAATACGACCCCTTCGGCGCGGCCCATTCGTCCACGTCGATCTCGGCCGGGCTCGGCATGGCGGTGGCGAGCAGCCTCAAGGGCGAAGCGCGCAACGTCGTCTGCGTCATCGGCGACGGCGCCATGTCGGGCGGCATGGCCTACGAGGCGATGAACAATGCGGGCTCCATGCCGCCGCGCCTCATCGTCATCCTCAATGACAACGAGATGTCGATCGCGCCGGCGGTGGGCGCGCTCAACGCCTATCTCTCGCGGCTGCTTTCCAGCCACCAGTTCCGCAGCCTGCGCGAGCTCGGCAAGCAGTGGGCGCGCAGGCTGCCCAAGGCAATGGGCGATGCCGCGATGCGGGCCGAAGAATATTCCCGCGGCATGGTCACCGGCGGCACCCTCTTCGAGGAGCTGGGCTTCTTCTATATCGGGCCGATCGACGGCCACAATCTCGAGCACTTGATCCCGGTGCTCCGCAACGTGCGCAGGGACGAGACGCCGGGGCCCGTGCTGCTTCACGTCGTCACCAGCAAGGGCAAGGGCTATGAGCCCGCCGAGAACGCGCCGGACCGCGGCCATGCGCTCGGCAAGTTCGACGTGGTGACGGGCGAGCAGAAGAAGGGCAAGCCCAAGGCGCCGAGCTATACCAACGTGTTCGCCCAGAGCCTGATCAAGGAGGCCGACCGCGACGAGAAGATCGTGGCGCTGACCGCCGCCATGCCGTCCGGCACCGGGCTCGATAAATTCGCCAAGGCGCATCCCACGCGCTGCTTCGATGTGGGCATTGCGGAGCAGCACTGCGTCACCTTCGCGGCGGGGCTGGCGACGGAGGGGTTGAAGCCGTTCGCGGCGATCTACTCGACCTTCCTCCAGCGTGCCTACGACCAGATTGTGCACGACGTGGCGATCCAGAAGCTGCCGGTTCGCTTCGCGATCGACCGCGCCGGCCTCGTGGGCGCCGACGGGCCGACGCACTGCGGGCAGCTTCGACATCACCTATCTCGCGACGCTGCCGGGCTTCGTCGTCATGGCCGCGGCGGACGAGGCGGAGCTCGTCCACATGGTGCACACGGCGGCGAAGATCGACGACCGCCCCAGCGCCTTCCGCTACCCGCGCGGCGAAGGCACCGGCGTGCCGCTGCCGGAGCATCCGAAAATGCTGGAGATCGGCAAGGGGCGGATCGTCCGCGAGGGAACGACGATCGCGATCCTCTCCCTCGGCGGTCGGTTGCAGGAAGCGCTCGGCGCGGCGGACGAGCTGCAGGCGCGGGGTCTCTCCACCACGGTCGCCGACGCCCGCTTCGCCAAGCCGCTGGACGAGGACCTGATCCGCCTGTTGGCGCGGGAGCATGAGGTGCTGATCACGATCGAGGAAGGATCGATCGGCGGCTTCGGCGCCCATGTCATGCAGTTCCTGGCCATGGCCGGCTTCATGGACGCCGGCCTCAAGATCAGGCCGATGCTGCTGCCCGACCGCTTCGTTGCGCACGGCACGCCGGCCGGCATGTACGAGGACGCGGGGCTGACCGCCAGCCACATTGTCGACATGGCGCTCTCTGCCCTCGGCAGCAACTCGGCCACCATGCCGCGCCGCGCCTGACGCGCCCATGGAGGTTGCACGCGCCGGGCCAGACCGGCGAAGTGAGACCATCGTCCGTCCGCCGTCGGACAGCCCAGACGGCACTATTCCCGCCCCCGGCATCGAACAGATCATCGGCGAGGCGGCTGCCGGCCTGCGCGGCCTCCAGCGCGACGACGGCCATTGGGTGTTCGAGCTCGAAGCGGACGCGACCATTCCCGCCGAATACATCCTCCTCAATCACTTCCTGGATGAGATCGATCCCGAGACCGAGGCGCGGCTCGGCACCTATATCCGCGCCCGGCAAGGCGATCACGGCGGCTGGCCGCTCTTTCCTGGCGGCGCGCTCGACATAAGCTGCACCGTCAAGGCCTACTTCGCGCTCAAGCTGATCGGCGACGACCCGGAAGCGCCGCACATGGCCCGCGCGCGCAAGGCCGTGCTCGCCGCCGGCGGCGCGGCGCGGTGCAACGTGTTCACGCGGATCACCCTCGCACTCTTCGGCCAGGTGCCCTGGCGGGCCGCGCCGGCGATGCCGGTGGAAATCATGCTCCTGCCGCGGTGGTTTCCCTTCCACCTGAGCAAGGTCTCCTACTGGTCGCGCACCACCATCGTGCCGCTCACGATCCTGCTCGCACTCAAGCCCAGGGCGAGAAACCCGCGGGGCATCGGGATCGCGGAGCTGTTCGCCACCCCGCCGGAGCGGGAATGGCACTATTTCCCGAGGCGGACCGCCACCGAATGGTTCTTCCTGACCCTCGACCGCGTGATCGCGCTCGGCGAGCGGTCGACGCCGCGAGCGTTGCGACGGCGCGCCATCGACAAAGCGCTCGACTGGTGCATGACGCGGCTCAACGGCGAGGACGGCCTCGGCGGGATCTTTCCGCCGATGGCCAACGTCCTGATGGCCTTCGACACACTGGGCTACCCACCGGACCACCCGGCGCGCCGCACCGCCCGCCGCGCGATCGATTTGCTGGCGACTGAGCCGGTCGGCGATAGCCAGTACGTTCAGCCCTGCGTCTCGCCGATATGGGACACGGGGCTCGCAGCGCAGAGCCTGATGGAATGCGGCGGCGAGGCCGAGCAGCGCGCGGCCCTCGACTCCCTCCCCTGGCTCACCGACCTTCAGATCCTCGATGTCGAAGGCGATTGGGCAGAGACTCGGCCCGATGCGCCGCCGGGAGGCTGGGCCTTTCAGTACCGCAATGACTACTACCCGGACGTGGATGATACGGCGGTCGTGGGCATGGCGCTCCACCGGGCCGATCCCGAGGCGCACCGGGAGGCGATCGAGCGGGCGGCCGCGTGGATCGTCGCCATGCAGAACGAGAACGGCGGCTGGGGCTCCTTCGACGCCGGGAACGAGCACTATCATCTCAACCGCATCCCCTTCGCCGACCACGGGGCTCTCCTCGACCCGGCTACTGCCGATGTCAGCGCGCGCTGCGTGAGTTTCCTCTGTCAGATCGGCTATGCGCGCGAGCATGACACCGTTGCCAAGGGCATCGACTATCTGCTCGCCGACCAGGAAGAGAACGGCTCCTGGTTCGGCCGCTGGGGGACTAATTCATCTACGGCACCTGGTCGGTGCTCTGCGCATTGAACGCCGCCGGCGAAGACCCGGCATCGCCCGCCATCCGCAAGGCGGTCGCCTGGCTCGAAGCCAAGCAGCGTGCCGACGGCGGCTGGGGCGAGACGGGGGACAGCTACTATGCCGAGCGGATCGAGCGCTCCTTCGAGGTGATCTCCACGCCATCGCAGACGGCATGGGCGCTGCTCGCGCTGATGGCCGTGGGCGAGGTCGGGAGCGACGCAGTGCGGCGGGGTATCGCCTATCTCTGCCGCGCGGAGCGGCAGGGTGCCATGTGGCGGGAGGACGAATACACCGCAGTCGGCTTCCCGCGCGTCTTCTACCTCCGCTACCACGGCTACAGTGCCTATTTCCCGCTCTGGGCGTTGGCGCGCTACCGCGCCCTCGTGGGCAGTAACGAGCGCCGCCCGCACTACGGCATGTAGCAAGAAGGTTGAGGACCGGGGCACCATGGCTGACCGGTCCCGCATCGGCGTCATCACGGGCCTCGCGGCGGAAGCGGCAACCCTTCCCGAAGACGACTTCTGGATCGCGGTCTCGGCCGCCAATCCGGCGCAGGCTGCGCAGGCGGCCGACGCCATGATCGTTGGCGGTGTAACGCTGCTGGTGAGCTACGGCTTGGCCGCCGGGCTCGACCCGCGTTTCGGCCCGGGTGCCCTGCTGCTTCCCGAAACGGTGATTGCCCACGAGGGGGAGGTCGAAACGCCCGATCGCGGCGGTGTGCGCGACCAGCTCCAGCGGATGACGTCCTTCAAGCGTGACGAGGGGCGAGGGCCGCCGGAGCCGCCGCCGGCCGAGAGCTACCTGGGGGTGGATGGGCGCGTGCGCGAGCTGCTGAGCCAGGGTCTCGGAGAGCGGGTCGAAGGCGGCGCCATCGCCGGCGTCGACCACCCGCTGATGTACGGCGATCAGAAGCTCTCTCTCTTCGCGCAAACCCGCGCCGGAGCCGCAGATATGGAGAGCCACGTCGTCGCCCGCGCGGCGTCAGCGGCAGGCGTACCGTTCGTGGTGCTCCGTGTCGTCAGCGATCCGAGCAACCGCGCGCTCCCGCAAGCTGCCCTCGCCGGGATTACCGAGGAAGGCCGCGTCGACGGCACGGCAATGGCCGTCGCGCTGCTGCGACGGCCGTGGGAATGTCTCGATATGCTGACGCTTGCGCTCGACGGGGCGCAGGCGATGCACCGGCTACGCCGCGTTGGTCGCCGGGCGGCGTCCCTTCTCTTGAGTCTGTGACGCCGCTTCCTCGGCCAGGCGAATGTCGCGCAGCTTCTCCTGCACGTGCCGGTCGAATATGTACTCGGCGGGCCGCGCCTGACTCAGGTCGATCTCGGGCGCCATCGGCCCCGTTGTCCTGATCCCGCGCAGCTTGACCATCAGCGCCGCCCAGGGTCGCGACAGCGAGTGCTCAGCCGCCGTCGGCTCATAGCCGCAGTGGACCATGCAGTCGGCGCACTTTTCGTAGCGCCCGGTCCCGTAGGAATCCCAGTCGGTTTCCTCCATCAGGGCGCGGAAGCTCCCGGTGTAACCCTCGCCGATCAGGTAGCAGGGCTTCTGCCAGCCGAAGACGTTGCGGGTGGGATTGCCCCAGGGCGTGCATTGGAAGCTCTGATTGCCCGCCAAGAAATCCAGGAACAGGCTCGACTGGCTGAAGCGCCACTTCTTACCGGCGCCGAGCGCGAAGATCTCGCGGAACAGCTCCTTGGTCTTGCTGCGGTTGAGGAAGTGCTGCTGATCGGGCGCCCGCTCGTAGGAATAGCCGGGAGAGACGGTGATCGCGTCGGCGCCGAGCTCGTCGGTAACGAAGTCGAAGAAGGCGGCAAGCCGCTCCGCCGGGTGGCCGTCGAACACGGTGGCGTTGACGTTGACGCGGAAGCCCCGGCGCCGGGCCTCCTTGATCGCCGCCACTGCGCGCTTGAAGGTGCCGGGCTGATCCACCGCGTGGTCGTGCTCCTCCTCCAGCCCGTCGAGGTGGACGGAAAAGGTCAGATATTTCGTCGGGGTGAAGAGATCGAGCTTCTTCTTGAGCAGCAGCGCGTTCGTACAGAGATAGACGAACTTCTTGCGCGCGATGATGCCGGCGACGATCTCCCCAATCTCCGGGTGAATCAGCGGTTCGCCACCCGGGATCGAAACCATCGGCGCGCCGCACTCGTCCACCGACTGCAGGCACTCGTCGACGCTGAGGCGCTGGTTCAGGATCTCGGGCGGGTAGTCGATCTTGCCGCAGCCGGGGCACGCGAGGTTGCAGCGAAACAGCGGCTCGAGCATCAGCACCAGGGGATAGCGCTTCTCGCCCCTGAGCTTCTTGCTCACGATATAGGCGCCGACGCGTACTTTCTGGATCAGAGGGACGGACATGGCGGACCGCTCGTGAGCATCATGCCGGCGCAGTACGCTCAGCCACCGGGCGCACCGGCGGCAGGCTTCTGCGCCTTGCCGTTGCCGCTGGCCTCGACCAGTTCGGCCGGCAGTTTGAACCGCACCCGCTCCTGGATCCCGTCCTGGATCTGAAGCTCCACCGTGTTGATCTCCCGCAGCCGGGCGACCAGGTCCTGCACCAGTTCTTCGGGCGCGGACGCGCCGGCGGTCACGCCCACCCCGGCGCACGCCGTCGAACCACGTCGGGTCGAGGTCGCGGGCGTCGTCGATCAGGTGGGTCGGCACGCCCATCTCCTCGCCGATCTCCCGCAAGCGGTTGGAGTTGGAGCTGTTGCGCGCGCCCACCACGAGGATCAGCTCGACTTCCTCGGCGAGCTTGCGCACCGAGGCCTGGCGGTTCTGGGTCGCGTAGCAGATGTCTTTCACGTCAGGGCCGGAGATGCTCGGGAAGCGCGACGTGAGCGCGTCGATCACGTCGCGGGTATCGTCGACGCTGAGCGTGGTCTGGGTGACGTAGGCGACCTTGTCCGGGTTAGCCACCTCAAGCCCGGCGACGTCGGCCGGCGTGGCGACGATGTGGACGCCGTTCTTCACGCGGCCGCTGGTGCCCTCGACCTCGGGATGCCCGTCGTGGCCGATGAGAATGATCTCGCGCCCCTCGCCCTCGTAGCGCCGCGCCTCGATATGGACCTTCGCCACCAGCGGGCAGGTCGCGTCGATCACCGGCAGGTTCCGGCGCCCGGCTTCGCTCTCTACCTTCTCGGAGACGCCGTGGGCGCTGAAGATGGTGACCGCGCCTTCCGGCACCTCGTCGATCTCCTCGACGAAGACCGCGCCCTTCTTTCGCAGATCGTCCACCACACGCTTGTTGTGCACGATCTCATGACGGACGTAGACCGGCGGGCCGAAGACTTCGAGGGCGCGCTCCACGATCTCGATCGCCCGCTCGACGCCTGCGCAGAATCCGCGGGGCTCCGCCAGGATGACCTGCATGCTGCCGTTGTCGCCCACGTTAGGCCCTTGCTCCATCCTGAGGTTACTCGGGGCGGGACCATCGACTCCGCGCCCGGAGCCACCGTCGCACCCTATCGCAGACACGCTGAGCCGGCAACACACGCCTTCCTCGCCGCACCGCCGGCCCGAGTTGTTGTATCGTCGGACCAGCACGCCGCAACGACTGGGAGGGCCAAGAGATGGCGCACGTCGCCGTCTGCGTGACCGCCCCGAGCGAGCCCGAGGCTGAGGCCATCGGCCGCGCCTTGATAGAGGCGCGCCTTGCGGCGTCGGTCAATATCGTGCCGGGCGTCTCGTCCGTCTACTGGTGGGACGGCGCAGTGCGTGAAGCCGATGAAGCCATGCTCTGGGCGAAGACCCGCGCCGATCTGGTCGAGCCGCTCACGGCCAAGGTCAAGGCAATGCACAGCTACGATTGCCCCTGCGTCATCGCGCTCCCGATCGCAGGCGGCAATGCGGACTATCTCGCCTGGATCGACGCCGAGACTGCGCCTGCGTCCACCGATCCCGACCAAGCCTGACCGCGGGCGGGACAGGTCAGATGAGGGGCCTCAGCCGCCAGCCAGAAGAATTGTGCGGTATCGAGAAGAAGCCTCACGTGTCCTCGCCTCCACCTTCGAACGCCGCCAGCAGTTCATCGGGAAGCGGCTCGAAGAAGGCGGCGGGGATGGTCATGCCGCGGTCTATGCCGACCGGGCGCGGCTCGCGTGTCGGCCTGGGGAGAGCGCGAATCTCGGCGATCGGCACGTTGCGCCGACACAGAACGACCGTCTCGCCCCGCTCGACGCGCTCAAGATAACGCGAGAGGTGGGCCCGGGCCTCAGCCACATTGACTCGAATCATGGTCCGCTTATGGATGATCTTGCTGGTCATGTTCAAGCCGCGCGCAGCGCCTGTCCCCGTGTTGTCGGATATGGATAGCGCGTAGACTGGCAGCGGCGGCGGCGATCACCACTGTCGGTCGACGCCGATGGCGTCGAAGACCTCGTCGACCGAGACCAACGCGCAGTTCTCCAGTCGCGCCTGGGCCGCAAGCAACCGGTCCCACGGATCACGGTGATCCCAATCGAGCTGGGCCGCATACTCGGCATGATCGTGGGTGATGGGGAGGTCTTCGACCGCGTTGCGCCTGAGCGCCGCCCGTAGCTCCTGCGGCGGCAGGGTGATCCGGCTGCGCTGCGCCTTCCACTCCAGCTCGTAGACCGAAACCGCGCTAACCAGCACGGCGTTGCCGCGATCGAGGATCAACCCTTTGGCGGTCGCCGACAGTCTCCGGCTGCCAGCGACCCACCAGTAGACGGCATGGCTATCGAGCAGAAGCCTCACGAGGCCTTGGGCGGGCCACGCCAGATGCCCAGCGTATCGCTGTAGTCGCCCGCGTCGATCATGGCCTGCTCCGGGTCTTCGCGATCAAAGAGATCGTCGGGCAGGTCGAGGTGCTTGAGCGGCGCGGCTTCGCGCTGCCCAGCCTCGGCCGGCGGGACGATGCGCGCCTGCGGTTCGCTGCCCTTTGTGATCATGATCTCCTCCCCCTCCTTGGCGCGCGCCAAGAGGCTGGAGAAGCTGGCACGGGCTTCGGCCACCTTGAAGATCTTGGTCGGCATGGTCCAATCCCCATGTCTGCGTCGGTCGAAGAGCATCGCGCTCGCCGTTCCTTTAAAATATGTACAACAAAGTTGGTCATCCCTCAACTAAATTGTCGATGACGGCCGGTGGCGCGGGCCAATTGACGGCGCCGGCCGTGTGCCCATGATGCCAAGCTAGACCGAGCGGGGGCGGCATGATCTACGACGAACCGGTGTTCAAGACGCTGGGCGACACCGCGGTCAACGTCGAGTTCGGCGACGAGACGAGCATCCCGCTCAATTTCCGCATCCTGGCGCTCAACTTCGCGCTGCGCGAGCACGCGCCCAAGGGGCTTGTCGAGACCAACCCGCAGGTGCGCACCCTCGGCCTCGTCTTCGACCCGCTCGCCACCACTCGCGCGCGCATCGTCGCCCATGTGAAGGAACTGATCGCCGCCCAAGACGCGGTCTCGACCCTGCCGAGCCGGCGGGTGATCATCCCGGCGTTCTATGACGACCCCTGGTCGCGCGAGTGCGCCGAGCCTTCGGCGTGCGCAACAACATCGAATACATCGCCGAGTTCAACGACATGACGGTCCCCCAGGTGATCGAGACCCATACGGGCTGCGACTACTGGTCCCGATAAAGAAACCACTAAGTGAAAGACAATTAAGACGGATGTGGAGTCATTCCACTACGAGCCTAGAAGCCCTACGCACAAGCGGACGCGGCGTGAAGGAGATCTAAACGGCAGGAAGACATCATCCCCTGTCGGTGCGCACATAAGGCGAGTTTATGAGGAGAAAGGAAAAGTGGGACAACTAGGATTTGACAAGGCTCAGGATCGTCTCCGCGGGAGAACGAGGGAAGCGGGGCAGGGTCGACGCTGGAGTCCCCTGCATCTAGCGTTCAATTACGTGGTCAGATACATACGATTATATTTACGTAGATTCGGGGGGGGAAGAATGCTACGGACGGCACGTGGTATGTCGCAAGAACTACCAGCGTTCGTGATGTTTCTGAAGGTAAGTAGGTTATGTTGGTCTGGTATATTTTCAGCGATACTCGGAGCATAGAAGGCAACCTTGTGGCACACACATTAGACGACAGTGTCATGATATGTCGAGGAAGACTCGCAAACGGAGTATGATAAGGAGGTGGAAATTCGAAGGGTCTGGAAGGGCGGGTACAGGATTGAACTAGCTTTAGACGCTATGTCGGTCGGCGCACCTTACGAGTTGTAATCACTCCTTAACTCGAGGAGAGATGTGCCTCGGTGAGTCAACGGGGCGGGGTACCCGCGAGAAAGCGTTCAGCGGAGCGCCCCAAGAGGAAGATTTAGTGTAAGTGGCACAAAGATTATATTCGTGCGAATAGAGGAGTAGGACCTCGGGCAAGGGGAAGAAGGCCTTTTCCCAGGAACTTCCAGAAAGAGCCCGGGTTCCTCTTAATTGTTTTAAGCCCACTAGCGGGGTGGGGGGGACCATCCGTAGAGAGCCACGCACCGCGCGTTGGGCATGCCCAGTCCAGTCGAGAGGGCAGGGCAGGGGGTGGCACTGCTCTGATAGGGTGGAAGATCGTGATAACTGTACCGCAAGAACATGCCACGCTTCGAGGGCTGATTTAGTGCGAGGTCGGAACTAAAAGCGACAGCGGTCAGTCAATGGGGACTTGTCGTGTAAGAGCGACATGCCGAACGGAGTGACCTAGGGGGTGTAGCGTGCGATAGGACAAGGACCACGCGGTGCGAGACAGAAGTATCAGGGAGGGTTTGCCGGGTTATGGAGGGAAGCCCATAAGTATTAAAAGACAGTCTTATGGGTCGGGGCCAGCGGCCAGCGAGCGGGTTAGCCGCATCGGAGCAAGTACCAGAACGTAGACAGATATTTAGCTTGTGGGGGAGAAAGAGAGGGTCGTTCCTAATCGGATAGGTGATACTATGGGCTTGATGGTAAAGTCGTTGAATGGTTATTAAATGTGTAGAAATCTGGATCGGGAACACTCGAGGAAGAGTGAAATGGGCAAGCGCATAACAGACCAAGTAGGAAACCGCGAAGACCAGCTAGCGGAGTACTGTCGGCTGTCGCCGAGAGTGGGGTGCTAACGTACGATCCGCCCAAAGAGGCGGCGCCACATGGGTGCCGACAAGTAGGGCGAAGGCGGGATGTGACGGATAAGTACAGGTAAGGTGGAACGGATAAGATGAGCAACCCCCGGTTGCCAGCGTTAACGAAGAGGCTGCGAGAGAGATCCGGGAAGTGTAAGAAAGGCGCCCACGCCGATGCAGAAGGGTCGGACGAACGGCCGGTCGACGGACTAGGGTGTTTGTGGGGAGAGGCGCTTGATTGGCTGAGCGGCGACCAACAAAGAGAATAGCCAGATGGACGAGATCCCGCAAGGAGAAGGCTAGGTGGACAAAGCGCTGCTGGGTCCAAAAGACACATTGGTGACGAGCGCAGCCGGGCCGACGAGGGCCGGAAGGGGGTGCGAAGGTTCTCGTTATTGGGGGGCCGCTAAGCGTCGGTAAAGCCGTATCAAGAAGGGAAAGAGGCTATCGTGCGCTAGTAGGGCGCGAACATGTGGGGAGGAAGAACGAGATGAGGGGAAGTACCGTTAAGCGAAGATGAGGAAGGATGTGGTGGGAGGGGAGGAAAGGAAGCGAAGGATTACCGTGATAATACGCTGGATGAAATAAATTACTGGCGTTTCAAATGAGGGATCCCCGAAAAAAAACAACCCCACACACCCAACCAAACACACAAACACACCCACCAACACCAACCCCACCCAACCCCAAAAACCCTTCGTTCCCGGCGCCTTCATGTCTTACGCCATGGACCCGGGGAAGCGATTCGGCGCACCGCTCTACCGCACACCCCGCACCTGGACCCACGCCAGGCTGCTCAATTTCGGAGGCCTGACCTCCACCATCTATCCGATCCGCGTGCCGGGCGGCGGCCAGCTCTTCGGCCGCACCCCCATCGAGATCTTCGACCCGAGGAGTTGAGCTCCGCCTTCGCCGACGGCCCGGTGCTCGCCCGCGCCGGCGACCGCCACCGCTACGAATCGATCGCGCGCGAGGAATACGACGAGATTCGCGCAGAGGTCGAGGCCGGCACCTACGCGTACCGGGTCGAGGAGGGCACCTTCGATTGCGCGGGCTATGTGGACTGGCTTGCGGAGATCGGGGAGCCCGAGGAGAAGCGCGACCCCGAGAGCACGTGGGGGCCGGCCTGATGCTCGAAGTGATCCATGGCGGCCTGCGCACCACGGTCCAGGACATGGGCCGGCGCGGCGGGCAGGCACTCGGGATTCCGCCCTCGGGCGCGCAGGACGGATTCGCGCTCAGGATCGCCAATCTGCTCGTCGGCAACCCGCCGGGAGGCCCGCTCGTGGTGCGCGAGGACCCGGGCGCGGCCGGCCTTGAGATGACCCTCGGCCGATTGAAGCTCAGGGCGCTACAGGACCACCTACTGGCGCTCACCGGCGCCGACACGGGCGCGACCCTGGATGGTGAGCCGGTGCAGTGCTGGTCATCATTCGTCTTGCGTGAGGGCCAGACGCTCGCCTGCCGTCTCGCGATGAGCGGCGCACGGGCCTATCTCGCGGTCCATGGCGGGATCGACGTGCCGCTCTACCGGGGCAGCCGCGCCACCCATGTCAGCGGCGGCTTCGGCGGGCTGGAGGGTCGGCCGCTCGCGCAAGGCGACCGCCTGCCGGTGGGCGCGGCGAAGGCCCCAGTCATGGAACTCGCCGGGCGCCGGCTGCGGCCCGATTTGGTGCCCCGTTACGCGCCGCCCATGCAGGTGCGCGTCGTGGCCGGGCCGGAGGCACATCGCTTCACCGAAGAGAGCGTCGAGGCCTTCTACACGACCGCGTGGAAGCTCAACCCGAAGGCGGACCGGACGGGGATGCGTCTTCATCGGCCTGAACTCTCCTTCAAGCCGGGGCGGCCACGCTACCTGAACGAGGATGCCGGCGTAGACCCCTCCAACATCGTCATCGACCCCGGCGCGCCGGTCGGCACCGTGCAGGTCCCCCTCTGGCGTCGAGCCGATCGTGCTCTGCGTCGATTCACCGAGCATCGGCGGCTACGCGCGGATCGCCATTGTGGTCTCCACCGACATGGCGCGCGTCGGTCAGATCCGCCCCTTCGAGGAGGCCCGCTTCGTCCGTGTTTCCCACGAGGACGCGGTGGCGATCCTCGCCGAACAGGAGTCCCTGATCGCGGACCCAGACATTATCGTCTGACCGGCGCCGCCTCGGGCGCCTCCAAAAAGCGGACCCCGGCGGGGTGCCGGGGTCCTGACTGACTTGAGAATTCTCGAAGTAGGTTTGGCCCCTACTCCGCCGCCATCTTCTGCGGCAGGGGGATGCCATCGACGGGGCAGCCCGTCACGCCGATCGAATCCCGCGTGATGGCCTCGACCATCTGCTGCGCCCGGCGCGGGTCCTCGACCCAGGTGCGGTAGAAGTCGAAGGGGCACTCGGCCACGCCCTTGTCGCCGTCGCCCGAGGCATAGACGCCCGTGTAGCCCCGGTGCATCAGCTTGAATAGGTGGTTCTGCGCCTGATCGTTGGCACGGGAATCGCGGATCTGCGAGACGGAGAGCTGGGAGTACTGGATGCCGTACTCCTCCTCGCCGCACTCGCCGAGGGTGCGGCCGTCGAAGCCGACGATCGCCGAGTGGCCGAAATAGGTGTAGACGCCGTCGTTGCCGGCGGCGTTGGCGACCGCCACATAGCAGCAGTTGGACCAGGCCATCGCCTTCGCCATCATGATCTGCTGGTCCTTCGCCGGGTACATGTAGCCCTGGCAGCGGACGATCAGCTCGGCGCCCTTGACCGCGCAGTCGCGCCAGATCTCGGGATAGTTGCCGTCATCGCAGATGATGAGGCTGATCTTCATGCCCTTGGGCCCGGTGCTCACATAGGTGTTGTTGCCGGGATACCAGCCTTCGATCGGGCACCAGGGCAGGATCTTGCGGTATTTCTGGACGATGTCGCCCTCGTTGTTCATCAGGATGAGGGTGTTGTAGGGGTTCTTGTTGGGGTGATCCGGGTGCTTCTCGCCGGTCAGCGAGAAGACGCCCCAGGTGTTCGCCTCGCGACACGCCTCGGCGAAATATCGGTCTCCGGCCCCGGGATATCGGACGCCGTGTCGAACATCTCCTTGCGGTCGTACATGATCCCGTGCGTGCTGTATTCCGGGGAAGATCGCGAGATCCATTCCCGGCAGCCCGGTCTTTGCGCCGACCATGAGTCGGCGATCTTCTTCGCGTTGTCGAGGACCTCTGGCGCGTGTGCAGGCGCGGCATTTTGTACTGGAAAACCGCGCAACCCACCGTATCCGGGCTGCTGACGATATCGCCGTGTCTCATGGCATGGCCTCCTTCGCCGTCCGTGTCCTGCCGGGTTTATACCCCGCCCCGCGAGCGCGACCAACCATGTGCCGCTCGCCGAGAAGCGAGGCACAGAGGGCAACGGGACGCTGGACCCCCTGGTATGATCGCGCTCATACTTCGAGGCTAGGGACAAAAGATCAACGAATTGTGGGGAGGGGAAGATGGACATGATCCTGGCGAACGGCACAATCGTGACCGCCCACGAGAGCTATGAGGCCGATATCGGAATCGAAGGGGGCGTCATCAAGCAGATCGGCCACGGCCTGGGGCCGGCCGGGCGCACTGTCGATTGCAGCGACAAAATCCTGTTCCCCGGTGGTGTCGACGTGCACACCCACGTCGAGTTCGAGCTCGATGGGTCAGGAGACCGCCGACAACTTCCACTCGTCCACCGTGGCCGCCGCCTGCGGCGGCATCACGACGATCTGCGACTACGCCTTCCCGGAGCCCGGCCAGTCACTCCAGGACGCCCTCGTCCGCTGGAACCAGCGCGGCGAGAAGTCGGTAATCGACTTCGGCCTTCACCCGACGATCTTCCAGCCCGGCGAGCATACGCTCAGCGAGATGCGGGACTGCGTCGCCGACGGCTATACCAGCTTCAAGATCTTCATGATCGGCTTCTCCGAGTTCGACAAGTATGCGCCCCAGTACCTGCGCTGCATGGAGGAGGCCGGCAAGCTCGGCGCGATGGTCAACATCCATTGCGAGGACCAGTGCTGCATCTCCTACATGACCCAGAAGCTGGAGGAGGAGAACAACTCCAACGTCCGCACCTTCCCCGATTCCAGGCCGCGCATCTCGGAGGGGCTGGCCGCGCGCCGCGCGCTCTGGATGGCCCACATGGCCGATGTGCCCGCCTATCTCGTCCACCTCTCGTGCCAGGAGGGGCTGGATGCGCTGAACGACGCGCGCGGCCGAGGCCAGACCTGCTACGGCGAGACCCGGCCGATCTACCTCCACCTCTCGCGCGAGCGCTTCAACGAGGAGGTCGACCCCGAGCGCTACGTCGGCTGGCCGCCGCTGCGCGAGGCCGACCAGATGGAGGTGATGTGGCAGGCGCTGGACAGCGGCGTGCTCCAGACGGTCGCCACCGACCATGTCGGCTGGAACATGAAGCAGAAGAAGGCCAGCGTCACCGTGGACGAGCTGCTGCCCGGCATGTCGAACCTGGAGACGGTGCTGCCCATGCTCTATTCCGAGGGCGTGCGCACGGGCCGGCTCTCGCCCAACCGCTTCGTCGACGTGAGCGCCACCAAGCCGGCCAAGCTCATGGGCATGTATCCGCAGAAGGGGACGATCGCGGTGGGCTCCGACGCCGACATCATGGTGTTCGACACGGAGAAGCCCGTCACCATCCGCCAGAGCGACATGCACTCCAATCAGGACTGGGAGCTGCACGAGGGCTTCGAGGTCACCGGCTGGCCGACCATGACGATCTCCCGCGGCGACATCATCGTCGAGAACGGCAAGGTTCTTGCCGAGCCCGGCCGTGGCAAGCTGGTCAAGCGCCGCACCTATACGTCATAGCCGCTAGCGGGATGGATCGGGTGGCGCAGGCGCCCGGAGCCGCCATCCCGGTGCAGCGCGAAGCGCGGGCAGAGCCCGGCACCGCGCTCCGCGTGGACGACCTCTACAAGCGCTTCGGCGACCTGGAGGTGCTGAAGGGCGTCTCGCTGACCGCGCACGAGCACGACGTGATCGCCATCCTGGGCGCCAGCGGCTCCGGCAAGAGCACGCTGCTCCGCTGCATCAACCTGCTGGAGGTTCCCGACGCAGGCGAGGTCCACGTCGGCGGAGAGCTGATCCGCATGAGGACCGACCGGCGCGGCCGGGTGACACCGGCGGACCGCCGTCAGGTCGATCGCATCCGCGCCCGGCTCGGCATGGTGTTCCAGCAGTTCAACCTGTGGTCCCATTTGACCGTAATACAGAACGTCATCGAGGCGCCCATCCACGTGCTCAAGCTGCCCCGGCGCGAGGCGGTGGACCGTGCCCACGCGCTGTTGGACAAGGTCGGGCTAACGGACAAGCACGACTACTTCCCGGCCCACCTCTCCGGCGGGCAGGAGCAGCGGGCGGCGATCGCCCGTGCGCTCGCGATGGAGCCCGACGTCATGCTGTTCGACGAGCCCACCTCCGCACTCGATCCCGAGCTCGTCGGCGAGGTGCTGAAGGTCATCCGCGACCTCGCCGAGGAAGGCCGGACCATGCTGATCGTCACCCACGAGATCGGCTTCGCCCGCGACGTCTCGTCCAGGACCGTGTTCCTGCACGAGGGCCAGATCGAGGTGGAAGGCCCGTCGCGGGCGTTGCTCGACGACCCGCAATCGCCGAGGCTCAGGCGGTTCCTCTCGGGCGAGCGCGGCGACGCTTAGCCGCAACGCCTGGCAATGCAAGCGACCCACCACCAACGAGGGAGAACGGGAGAGATGAGGAAATTCACATTCCTGGCGATGTTCGCGGCACTCGCGCTCGCGGCCGGCACCGCCGCGGCCGACATGAAGAAGGTGACGTTAGGCACCGAAGGCGCCTACCCGCCCTTCAACTGGATCGACGAGAACGGCGAGCTCCAGGGCTTCGACATCGACATCGGCAACGCGCTCTGCGCCGCGGCGAAGCTCGACTGCACCTGGGCGGTGCAGGATTGGGACGGCATCATCCCCGGCCTGCTCGCCAAGAAGTACGACGCCATCATTGCCTCGATGTCGATCACCGAGGAGCGCAAGAAGAAGGTCGACTTCACCGGCAAGTACTACACCACGCCGGCCAAGTTCGTGCGCATGAAGGGCTCGGGCATCGAGATTTCCGACGAGGGCCTGGAAGGCAAGGCCGTCGGCGTGCAGCGCGCGACCATCCACGAGAACTTCCTGCGCGACAACTATGGCGACATCGTCACCATCAAGGCCTACGCCACTCAGGACGAGGCCAACCTCGACTTCGTCGCAGGCCGCGTTGACCTGCTGCTGGCGGATTCGATGGCCCTGCAGGGGGGCTTCCTCGACACGCCCGACGGCGAGGGTGCGGAGTTCGTGGGCCCCGACTTCACCGATCCGCAATGGTTCGGCGACGGCGCCGGGATCGCAATGCGCAAGGGCGAGAACCGAGCTTCTCGACGCGCTTAACGGCGCCATCGCGGCCATCCGCGCCGACGGTACCTACAAGACGATCAACGACACCTATTTCGATTTCGACGTCTACGGCGACTGAGCGTCGCGTAGCGGCGGGCGGACGGGCGGCACTCCCCTCCCGTCCGCTCATCTGCGGGTAAGGGGTCGGGCCGATGCTCGATCTCAGGGCTACGGCTGGATGCTGTGGCAGGGCCTCGAGCTCACCATTCTGGTCGGGCTCGGGGCCATGGCGCTCGCCTTGGTCCTTGGCCTGCTCGGCGCCTGGGGCAAGCTCGCGCGCGGGCGCGCCGGCCGCTGGGTTGCCGGCACCTACACCACCGTCATCCGCGGGGTGCCGGAGCTTCTGCTCATCCTGCTCGTCTATTACGGCGTACCAACGCTGATCCAGGACATCGCCGAGGGCGCCGGCCACAGACATCATCATCGACATCATCCCTCATCGCCGGCCGTCATCACCATCGCTTCATCTACGGCGCCTTCGCGACCGAGGGTCTTTCGCGGCGCCTTCCATCGCCGTTGCCGCGCGGGCAGATCGAGGCGGCAGCGCGCGATCGGCATGGGCCGCGCGCGCTCACCTTCCGCCGCATCGTCATTGCCGCAGATGTGGCGCTTCGCCCTCCCGGCCTCGGCAATGTCTGGATGGTGCTGATCAAGGCCACGGCGCCTCATCTCGGTGACTCCAGCTCGAGAGCTCATGCGCAACGCGACATCGCGGCGCGCGCGACCAAGCTGCCATTCACCTTCTTTCTTCGTCGCCTCGCTCTTCTATCTCGGCATCACCGTCGTCTCGATGGTGGTGCAGCGGCGTGCCGAGGCGTGGGCCAACCGCGGGTGCGAGCGCGCCTGAGGCCGGCCATGGACCTCGCAATCATATGGGAGAGCCTGCCCGCTGCTGGATGGCGCTGTGCTTACGCTGGAGATCACGTCGTCAGCCTGGTCGTGGGCCTCGCGCTCGCCGGGTACCGCTCGCGATCATGCGGCTCTCTGCCCAACCCGGTGCTGTGGATGCCGGTCTACGGCTACATCCTCTATTCCGCGGGACGCCCATCGCTGGTGCAGCTCTTCCTGGTCTATTACGGCTCCGGCCAGTTTCCGGCCGTTCTCGACCAGATCGGGCTCTGGGTGCTGTTCCGCGAGGCCTACTTCTGCGCCGTCCTTACGCTCACCCTCAACACCGCCGCCTACACCCGAGATTTCTGCGGGTGGCGATCCAAGGGCGTGGCCGCGCGCGATGTCGAAGCGCGCGCGCGCCGTCGGCATGTCGGGCACCCTGCTCTACCGGCGCCTCGTGCTGCCCGAAGGCCTTCCGCATCGCGCTGCCGGCCTACACCAACGAGGTCGTGTTCCTGCTGCAGGCGACCTCGCTGATCTCGATCATCACGCTGCTGGACCTCACCGGCTCGCCCCGCATACATCGTCGCCCGCCAGCTTCGAGCCCTACAAGCTCTACATCACGGCCGGGCTCATATACTTGCGATGAGCTATTCTTCATCCTGCTCTCAGCGCTTCATCGAGCATCGCCTGTCAGGCCACATGCGCGAGCGCCCGCGAGCGGCCCGCCCTGCGCTGACGACGCCCCCGACCCGACGCTAATCCGGAACGCACCTCCGGTAGTCTTCGTCGGTCAGAACGCTCGCGCCCGGTGAGGCGAAGTCTTTGCGCCGGATGCGAAGCGACGGATCGGCTAGCGCAGCAAGGAACCCGTCGCGCATCTTCTCGACGTCCTCGGCCGATGGTCGCGGGCGGCCGGTGACCGAAGGGCATGCCCCGGCGCGGTCGGTGTGACGACGTCAGGATCACGGTGCCGCGCAGTGCCTCCGGTGCATGGTCGAGAGCAATGCGTGGGTGACGCAATCGACCGCGCAGGGCGTCCGCCTCCCCGCCGCGACGCACGCGGACACTGGCGCGATGGGAACCCGGTTGCGATGATCTCTCCGAAGAAGGACGGCGGGTCAGTCGCCGCGCGGCAGCATGTGCCGCCAGACGTGGTAGCCGCGAATAGGATCCCGTGCCGTTGGTGGCGAGCCGGCTGCCCCGCAGGTCGGCGACGGCACCCGCGCGCGCGCAGTCTCGCGACGATGACGTGCGCCCCATAGCGCGGGCCTTCGCACCCGGGCACGTCATACCGGGCCGTCGCGACGAGCTTCACCGCCGGCCCGAGCACGTTGACGAAGGGATAGCCGCAGGTCCTGGCTGAACAGGAGCGCGGGCGAGCGCCAATGGCCGTGATAGGTCGTCCGGCCAAGTCAGCGTTTCGGAACGCCTGACACGCCGCGATCCCGCAGTGACGGCGCTAGGCCACCACCAGCGCTCCGTGGACGGACGAACCTCGCTTCACAGTACATCGGCAGACTGGCGAGGCGCGTCTCGGTGGTCATCGTCTGTCGGGCGCTTGTGTCCGGGCGCTTTGCATCAGCCGGTGACGATGGGGCTTCTGCCCGCGCGTCGTCCTCGGCCTTGAGCTTCTCGTGCGGGGCCGCGAGCGCCGCCTCCGGCTTATCGAAGCGCATGTCCTCGAACATGATCAGCGGCTTGGCGCGATCCGCCGCAAGCTGGCCGACTGCACCACTCTTCGTCCGGCTTGGTGCAGACCACGACGTAGAAGCCGGGGATCGGGCCGAGCTTGTGGGCATTCAGCGCGAACAGCACCTCGGAGAGTCGTTGAGCTTGTCGTGGTCGAGGCCGCCGAGCAGCGCTCTCCTCCAGCGCCGGTCGCCTGGGCGCGGGTGGGCAGCATCTTCTTGCCCGGCGGCGGCATGATCATGGCATGAGAGAGCTGCGGCTCTTGTCGGGAATGCTCATCCGCAGACCCTCCCCGCCCAGGCTGTACGCGGCGTTACTCTGCCGCTGGACCGTGCTGGTTCCTCAGACGTCAGGGCAGCGGCCGTCCTTGAGGAAGCCGTTGATCACGTTCTCCATGATCTTGGAGACGTTGTTGTCGTAGTCGTTGTGCGAAAGGCTGCCGCACCAGACCAGCGAGCCCGGCGCCGAACACCGCACCGTCGTTGGGCGTCTTGTAGTAGATCATGTCGGCCCTGATCTGCGGGTTCTCGTGACCGCCGCCGTAGATAGCCGCGGCAGCGAAGTGGATCTCCTCGTTGACCTGGAGCATCAGGTCGGTGTGGCCCTCGGAGCGGGCCAGGAGATAGCCGTTGTGCGGGTGCCGAACTCGAGGTCGTAACGGTCGAGCTCCAGCCCCGCGGCGGCGCCGCCGCCGACGAGCCCGAAGTCGCCGATGATCTCGTCATCGCCGATCTCTCGAAGATCCATTCGCACTCGGAGCGGAAGCTGTCGGCCTCGCGCCGTTAATAGGACGAGACGTCGAAGCCGTAGCCGTGAGGTGAGCCGCAGACCTTGCTCGGATGCGCCCCCGTGCCCGCCACATGCCGCCGAACTTGCCGTCGAAGGCGTTGTTGTACTCGCCGGATTGGCGTGTCCAGCGCGGTCCCGCCTCGCCCTTGCGGACCTCGATGATGTTGCCGTTGTCGGGGTGATACTGGCTGCACCAGTAGAACCCGTCGGCGCCGAGATAGAGCCAGCGTCCGCCCTGCTGCTGATAGGCCTCGTAGGCGTCGATCATCGCCTCGGACGAGTACTCGGGATGCGAGCCGGTGAGCACGACGCGGTACTGGTTGAGCAGCGCCACGCCCTCGCGGTCGAGGTCCTCGTCGGTGTGCACGTCGTAGTCGAGCCCACGCCTCCAGCCAGTCGGTGAGGTGGAGTCGCATTGAGCTGCCAGAGCGAGGGCGAGAGCCAGTGCCGGTACTTGGGCCGCATGTTGAGGATCGGCCTGAGCCGCGACGAATAGCAGACGCCGCTGCCGTCCGAATGCAGCGAGTAGGTGGAAAGCCCGTACTCGCGATGCTCGTTGAGGTAGAGGTCGGAGGCCTGCATCAGCGGCACCTTGCCGGCCAGGAGCTGCGCCACCACCGAGTTCGTCGCCAGATTGTCGTTGGAATAGGCGAGGTAGCTGTTGGTCGGGATGATGACCGCGACCCGCGCCGAGGGCTGATCCTTGGGCGGGCGCACGACGAAGGGGATGTAGTCCTCGGTCGCCGCCGATTCCTCGCCGCCGATCCTGAGCCTCGCGGCGTAGAAGCCGCTCTTCAGCCCCTCGGGCGCGGTGAAGCTGAAGTCCGCATCCCACCTGGCATCGTCGATATCGTCGTCGTGGAAGTGGATCGCGCCGTATTCCTCCGGCGCGTGGTGATAGACGATCTCGTCCGCGGTCCAGTTGTAGCCGGTCATGCCGCGGGCCGGCAGGTTGATGGCGTGGCCGTTCAGCACGTTCGGCGAGGTGTCGATGATGTAGGTGGACGCGATGTTCTTGGTGATGTTGGCCTGGAAGTCCCAGGCGCCGACCACGATACGCCGCAGGTCTGCCGGGCAGCCCTTGAATCCGCGCGCCAGCGCATCGATCGAATGCTTGTCGAGCGCGGCAGCCGAGAGCCGTGGGCGGTCGATCTTGCCGTTGTAGGTGTCGCACTGCTCGGGCAGCGCCACCGGGCTCACGCCTCCTTGTAGTGCGCACCGCAGATCGAGCGGCCGGAATCGGAGACCTTGGTCGCCGCGGCCATGAGGAAGGGCGCGTCGTTGGCGCCGGGCGCCACGTCGCAGCTGCCCGAAACCTCGGCCGTGGTCTCCTCGGCCGGATGCAGCAGCGCCATGCCGAGGCCGCCGTTGGCCGACGTCACGACCGGCTCCTGATAGAGCTGCACCGCGCCGGTCTCCGCGTCGTAGGAGGCGGCGGCGAGATACCAGACTTTGCGCAGCAGCGGCTTGCCGCTGGAGATCTTGCGGACGCGTGGTGCCGTCGCCGATGCAGAACGCGAGGCTGCCGTCGTCGTCGACGAAGAGGCCATAACCGGTGTCGTTCACCCACTTGGTCAGGATGCCCTGGCGGCCCTTGGTCGGCGTGGTCGGGAAGATGAAAGCCTGGATGGTGAAGCTCGACACGGACATGCGCTCGTCGTGCGGCACGATCACGTAGGAGCCGCCGTGGATCTTCTGGTTGCGCCCGTGCAGGTGCCGTCGAACGGCGCGTCGATCTCTTCTTCCTTGTAGCCCGGCCCGTCGGGGTTGGTGTCGCCGTGAATGAGGCGGACGAGCTTGGCCTCGTAGTCTTCGCCGTTCTCGGAGTTCACATAGAACGTGATGTCATCGCCCGGACGGATCGAGTAACAGTCGCTGTATCCGGTGATCCGAAGCATGTCGTGTCTCCCAACCGTGTGTTCGTCGAACTAAGAGCGGGCGTCTACGCGCCGTAGCCGTAGAGCGCCAGGAGGTCGTGAACGCGCTTGACGAAGATCGCGTGCTCGCACGCGTCCTCGCTCGGATATGTCTCGTCCTCCAGGATCTTCACCGGCTCCCCGCGCACGCCGGAGGTGATGCCGATGCGGTATTCCTCATGCGGCTTGGTGCAGATCCGCACATACTTGCCGGTCATGGGCGCGCGGCGCAGCTTGTCGATCACCGTGATCAGATCGGGGCTGTGGCCGACACCGGCCTTGCCGGCCTTAGCGGCTGCCGACGGGTTGCTGCTGGTGCCTCCCGACTCAGCGGCGCTCTCGACGTCGCCGGGTCGGTGAGCAGTGGCAGCACATAGTCCGGGTGATGAAGTCATCGGTCGAGGCTCTGCCCTGGTCGAGCTGAATGCCGGTTTCCTTCCTCCCTCCGCGGGAGTTTTCGGATTCGGGCTCGCAATCCTTTGCTTCCTTTCTCTCCTTTCCTCCCTAACGCGCGTCCCGCCGCTCTCCATCATGCCGCTAAGGGTGCGTGCCGCGGATCGGCGGCAGATACCTGCCCGATGGGTTGAGGCGATGACCAGGCGGCTATTGGTATGACTCTTGTGGATTTTCGCGGCCGGCTGAGCGGCAGCCGTCAGCTTTTCCTCACGCCATCGGCCGTATCTAGGCCGGTGAGCTTGCGCCAGAGCGCGAAACCAGCCCTACCCGCCTCACGCCCCGCAGTCCGCCTCGCTGGCTTGGCGGTCTGGCATTCTCCATCACGTATGGGTGGCGTCAGCGATAGGCGAACCATAGCGCGACCCGATGTGGCCGCTGCCCTGCGATGATCGTCGAGCTTCCCGTGCACGGGTATGACATCGGGATGAGTCGATGGGGCTTGCGAGATAAGCGAGGAGGACAGGATCAGAACCGGCGTCCTGACCGCCAAGGCGTCCCGCGTTGTCGAAACACCAGCAGAGCGTGACTGACTTCGACCGCACAGCCGCCGCGCAGCCGGATTCGAGGAAGGCGA